ATCTGTAATATGTTATATATGTATTGAAATAAATTGCATGTTAATCACAAATTGACATACAGGGTATATTTCTAAAAATAGACATTGTCAGATGAATATTTTTAGTTGTTTTTGATAAAATGTTACAAAATAATCGGAATGATTTTTCTATAAACATCAAGCTGTATAATATATTCTCTTACTTATTAGGAGCAGTATATCTTCCTTCATCGATGTCTTTTGTATGCGCTTATCTGCGATCCTGATCCACTTCCGGTCACAGAAATTCCACGCATTATGACAGATAATAAAATATCGCATCAGTTTCAGGTATGTCTGGAAATTCTGTTCTCATTATTAGTTGTTGATAATGCTTTTGAATGTTTATAATGTGCTGATACTTGTTTTGAACAGCGTTTCATTTTGAATGTTAGCTAGCTTGATATTAGCGGATATATTGAAGAGACATTGTCTATGAGTTCCAGTTTAAAAACAATTATGCCACAAGACACATTCCTTGTCATGAAAAATTAATTTTCTTAAACAGTATAAAGCGGTGAAAATGGTTTTTGCTATAACAGTTATATAGTCGCTGGTTAAAAACATTTTCATTTTATTTCATATGTGGAAAGTAAACCTATGATTTACAAAATACGCTTGTATGATACATTATAAAAAGATAGCTATCTTGGACTTTTTAAGGACGAGAGGCTTAAGTCATTTTATTTTCTATTAGCTTTAAAATAGGTAAACAAAAATAAGAAAAATCCCTATTAAAATATTCTATTACAAAAGTAAGTGACCATGTACGCAAACTATTTAACTGATATAATCATATTGTTAAATACGGTTCGATTAAAAAATACATGTTATTTCAACACCTTTTAAACACTTTTCAGACATTTACAGAAGTTATAATACCTAAAACATTTGACAGAAAATCATCTGCCCAGAAGAAGATAAGAAAAGAAAATAGAAAAGGAGCTGATATTCCTGGTATTTAATGCCACTATTTATCTTACCCTTCTTCTTACAATACTTTCCATTATGCATTCTTATAAATAGATGTATTTGTATAAATTTAAACTGGTCTTAAGTATGTGGAAAGAATATAAGGAATAACACCTTTGATGATTATAATATAACATTTTCCAAATTTATATGAGATTATTTCGGGTAGATTTTAAAATGCTTGTTAACACAGATTCAATGTATTGGATCAGGAAGAGAAAACAGGTCCGTAATTCATAATAGTATACAAAAGTTATTCATAACTAAGTGTTTAAACATACATTGCCTTTCACTGGTATCGAATTACCTATTGACATTGTAAAGGAAAACTTCCTTTTTCATTTACACTGAGGTAATAACACACTGTGTATGATAATAAAAAGCAGTCGTCTGTAAATCTGCTCTCGTTTGAATAGCGAAACTGAGCTATTCAGTAAAGTTTTGTTAATTTTGTTTGCATGGTACTTCCTTGTTTTTATATTTTACATAATATCTAAAGGTGATGAATACAGAGTGAGATTGAATTCAACAAAGCATGAATACATTAATGCTGTTTATGTTAATGTAAGTATACAACTCTGGGTAATTTGATTTTGTATAAAATTTGCTGCATCGCTTCGATCGTCTCCCTTTTCAAAACTTTTCATGAACCTTGATTGCGTTGTTTCCCTTTCTAACATTTTTATACTTGAATAGCTTCTTCTTCTTCTAATTAGTTGCATTGGTACGTGTATTATATTATGAATTGAGTTGTTATCATTGTCCTTTTAATAAAACCGACTTTTATCTCAATAAATTTTGGACAGAATATAGGTGATTTTTATAATTAAAAGAACCTACATTTATTGTCATACAGGCTTTCCTTAAACGACTAAAAAAGTTAAACTCGCTATATGACACTTTTCCAGGCTCATTTTATACAAAGTCTAGGTTAGATGTATATTTATATGTTAACTCATGTATACCTTCATCTTATGAATTTGATTAAACAAACAAATTTTAAAATTGAAATATTTTGATTAAATCAGTTTCAAAAATATGTGATTATATAAATATTACTCGAGGTCTGTTTTTCAGGGATACGAAAATCCATACAAGTTTATTGTTACACAGACTCCGATGCCGAACACAGTTGAAGACTTTATATCCATGATTTATCAAGAAAAATGTGCTTGCATTGTAGACCTGGATGATGGCAATCTCAATGACAAAGTACTGAATTCTAATTTTCTTCTTTAGTTATAGAATTAAAATCGTTTTGATACTATTGGCAAGGGAATGGACCGCGTATGATACATTAAAAAGATTTACTCATTTTCAAATTTGACAATTGTTATTAAGTAGAAAGACACGTGAAAAGAGACAAAAATGAACTGGCTTGAATGGTTTGAATATACTTAATTTTTAAATCGTCCAATGTATAAGTTATAGTATGCTTTCCTGAAGTATGGTTGAGTTTTATTCAAAATTATAGCGAAACAGTTTGATTATTGATTTTAGTAATCTATTAAGACGTTACACAGAATTGAATAGATACTTTTATTCCGGTTTGTCATTCTATTCATCGTTAATTTCAGTCCGTGGGGCATTATCTACCACAAGATAGAAAGGTATCTATCGGACATTTTCAAGTGGCGTGTAAGAATGTGGAGACATTAGAACATTACATAATTCGGGATCTCACGATTTCACGGACTGGACTGGTATTGTTAAATCTTTATTTTAAGGTCTAGGTCTGTTGCAAAGAAATGTTGTTTGACTTATTTGTTTGATTCTCTTTCAAAAGTAGCCACCGATTGGGGATAAACTTGTAATCCATTTTGCATACAATGCATTCTTTTGTTCATATTTACTTCTAAAGTCGTGCATAGTCCCTCCAGCATGTATACTGAAAATATATTTCGAATTAATTATTTTATGTGTATGAAATTAGAGCACAATCGTCTAGAACATACAATAAATATGATTTCTTAAATTCTCCTGTTAATAACATACACGGATTAATTCCTGCAAGGAATAATGATTATTATTCTATATGTTAGTAATCTTCTTTTGAGATGATGAATTAATAGAAAATTTCACATTTAGCATCTTTCTGGCGAACTGCATTTAAAACATTACCAATATAACGGCTGGAGTCAGTCAGAAAAAGTTCCGCCTAGAGTAGAACAGTTCTTACAATTCGTAAAGAATGTTGAAAACGAGGCCAAAGGTCAGGGTGAAGAGAGGACTATTGTAGTTCATTGCTTGTAAGTATTGACTTTAATAAATCTTGTTGCCAGATCAAATTATTTTACTCTGGTAATTGTTGATTAGTCGTAAGATTTCATCATTTTTATCACGTTTACTTATTTAATTAAGATTTATCTGAAGCTGCACTCTTGTTTATTTCGTTTTATTTGATCCTTTTTATACGCTCTAAGTTTATTTGTGTGTGTTATAATTGCTAGGACGGGAGCTGAGAGGAGTTGTCTTTTCTGTGCTGTTTCGATCATATCAGAAAAATGTTTCTTTGAGAAAGAGATAAGTGTCCTGAATACAATCTGTCAACTTCGTTCCAGAAGGAAAACAGCCTTTACCGATCTTGTAAGTTATTAACTACCTTCTTGTATGGACGTTTCATGACATACAATCTTAAAGAATGGATATACCCAAGCTTTATCATTAATTACCTTTGGCGAAATTTCAGCGAATAACATCTTATAAAAAAACCTGCCTACCTAAATTAAAACAATTACCTTCTCGTCTTTACTTAAAATAAATTATTCCCTATTTGAATCGTATATAAAATTGATAATAACGGCTTTATTTTGTCAAAGACAAAGATTAAAAATTTGCTTATGCTGACAAGGATTAGTTGAATTTGTTTGTCTTTGAGCCATTTAAGGGTGTCGGGCCGAGTGGTTAAGGTCGTTTATATCAAATCACTTGCCCTTCAGAACTCTGAAATATTTAATGTTAAGACACTATCCTGGTTGCGGTATCCAGGTAGTTCAAGGAACGTCGATGAGTCTATCCAGGTGCCTTCTTGTGCCTGAAATATTGCACGGCTGGGCACCTGAGGTCCTCCTCAACTGGTAAATCTTGAATAATTCCAAAAGTGTCTATGCAACTTTAAACTAATTACAAAAAATAAGACATTTAAAATTGGTGGTTGTCTACATGATTTACTTATTTTATTTCAGGAACAATTCAGGTTTTGTTACCAAGCTGTAAATACTATTTCGGAGACTTCTGGCAAGAAGCAATACTATAACATGAGCCAGTTGTTGTAAACGAGATACACATGCTGATTTGGATAGTTAATAAAGATTTGTCTCTAGTTCCTTAGCAGCAACAAAAATGAATTTATAAAAAGTAAAAATCCCGAAAGGTGATATAAATACAACGTGTGTACGAGGGATGATACATATATCTATTACAAACATTTTTTTAAATAAAATATAGCTTTTATTTTTTTGTTAGCTTGTCTCAATAATTTCTTAGTCTCTTTTTTGTCTATTGCACTGAATTTTATTGCTACACACCGATGTATTTTTGAACAATATGTTAGTTGAATATATTTGGTTTTTAGAAAAGATATTTTTGTATGAATATCATCCTTTACTTGTTAAAATTATGATAATTGCAATAAAACAGATATTTTGAAATATTTCATGGGTTATATTTACAAACAGTAGGAAGGTTTTGTTGACATTTTAACCAAATTTTGTTTAACATCAGGTTTAACGAAATGACAAATGAAAGTTGGGTTATTTTATCACATGATACTATCAATAGCTGATGATAGAATGACAAAAAGGGAACACAACCGGCAAAATTAATTAAACAAATTATAAATAACTTTATAAAAAGGTTAATTTTAATTTACTATGATCCCTGCTCATTGGAAACATGTGATATCATTTGATATGGTAAAGATTAGAAAATAAACAGTATTGTACATGTATTTTATTTAGTGAATTGGTCTACAATGGTCAGATTTTCCGTAAGTATTTCACATATTGATAAAAACAATAGAAATGTATCATTTTGGATATTCTTAAAAACTCTGGTAAGAAATATATTGTCAGAGTGATAAAGTATGAACATATAGTACATATAGAACACTTAATATATTGAGATGTCATCTCGGATTATGTATGTAGTGCTTACCAACAACAGTCATATATAATTCTTCACAACATTTATATAATTTTTTAACAGTTTGCTTTCTTGTAAGATACATGTATATATCATCAATACAATTATTTATTGTATTATAGACTGTCAAATATTGACCAATTCACTTTAAGATTTAACTGTCGTTTTAGCTAAAGTGTACATTATTTAATTGTTCTGATTTATTTAACCATTGCTTTTTATCTTGAATATATATTGAATTTTACACTGTTAGTGCTACTGTGCTTCTTTACAATTATGTTGAGACCATACCGGTTTCCTATAAACGGTAGAATGAAATTAATCATCCAATAATTTAGTCATGAATATGTATTTAGTAAACATTATGAAGCAGCACGTAAACTTTGAACTGAATATGATGTGTGTTTACAATACATTTTTGAAATGTAAATTTATGTCTAAAGGGCAACTATTCGATGTAATTGGTAATGTTTAACTCTCATTTATTGTCTTTCTTTTACAAATACTTAAACCCCAAATATATTTACAATTCACTGTGCAGAAGTGCAAAGCTCAAGAGTAATAACTCTTTTGTTTTCTTTTTTTGTAAATTCTGGTGTTTTCCCCCATTATTGATTCTAAATTTTCCGCATTTTTGCTCAGGCATAATTCAAAAAGTTATAAAGAAACCAACTTTTGAAAAAGTGATAAATCTATGTTGGGAGAAGTGCATTCGGAAAGAATTATATCTACCTTAGGTATAATTTTTCAGTTATTGCCCTTCTTACTTTTTGTCCGGGGCATAACTAAAACATATTGGATTCATCTGTGTAAAATTTCACAGATTGATAGATTTTATAGAGGAAAAATGCATTGCACAAGAACGATAACTATTTTGGAATAATTACCCTTTATGCTTTATACTCATGTTTGTATTAGGCATAGCTTAAACGTAAAGGTATTTGTTAGAAACTTTTGCATAATTTTGGATTTATTAATCTTTGTATTTAAAACTTGACTCAATGACGTTATTTATTTGTCTATAAGCATGCTGTTGCTAAATTTCAATTTTAAGATTTTGATTCTTATATTTACGTACCTTAAATGAATAGCCAAATGACATTAAATGTTATAAATATAAGCTTTATGTCATTTTATCTCAAAGAATCTTTTTTCGCTTGCCACTGTTTGATTTTATAGGATTTGTATTATATAATAATTCTGTAATTTACATAATACTGAAAAGTTACAATCAATTGTTTTTTTATCGTTCAACATAAGGTGTTAATTTTCTATCTCGATCTCCAGTATCATTTGTCAAAACATAAATATAGATATATCATAAACTACTTTGTACGCCACAGAAGAAAAATATGACAATCAGCCGAAATGATACGAGTTTTTTTTATGTTGATAATTTTGTCCGTATACATTTATTTCTACAAATTGTTATTTTATTTTATTGTTTTGCTTTCAATAGTTTAGTGCAACACCGTCCTGCTTTTAATACTTGTTAGGTACTTTTTCATGTATGCATTATATTTGTAATGTTGCCTTTCAAATAAAGCGTAATTAATATATCGTTATATCTTGTTATATTTTAGATAATAATGCCAATCACTAGCTGTAGTTACTCTTCTTCACATTTCAATTAATGACCATAGTCTTAGAAAAGGAAATATGCAGCAGTAGCTATGGCGTGAGGGCAATACTTGTTACGAAGTAATTATCTCATTTTATACAGCGTGCAATTTTGTATTGACAGCATCCCTATGAAATATGTCTTAAATTGTATTTATGACTTTTGGAATGTGGAGATTATTGTCTGTCTCCTTTATGATTCTCCTTTATAATAATGAAACTACCAAAATTGCTCAAATGTAATACTTAATGAAAACTGACTAATATTCATATAATGCGTGTTTATAAATACACGACTTTAAATTGTATGTTTTACATGTTTGTTATGACTTAAATGGACTTTTGAAGCTTCTATTTATGGTAATGTCTATTATCAATATAAAGAAAATTTGCTAACAGTTTAGAACATGGTCACACTGCACGAATGGCAGCAAAGGCTAGTCACTTTCGAGAATGAATCAGGATAAGTGTTAATACAAATCTAGGAATCATATTTGAGAGATAGTTATACCAGGTACTGTCTTTCTCATATTCATGCGATCTAATTTGGTTCCTGTACATTTTAATATGATGAATATCATTGAAAAACAGCTAATGGGTGTCATATGTGAGAAATCGTGTTCAACTTAATTATGTTTTTATAAGGAGAATGTTTTATAACCTCTGAGTACAAGTAGCAAATAAAAGTTAACTATAACTCGCTCCCCCGTAATATGCATATAAATATTTTTTTCAAATAGAACAACTTTATCAAATCCTTATATTCATGATGTCCACAAGCAAAAATGAAATACTTTTAAATGATTTATTTTACAAACAATAATATTCGACCACACTTCCGTGTCGATAAAAATATATATACAACAAAGTGAAAAATATAAGAATGCCTGCATTGCCTAATGAAATAAAAACAAAACAAAAACATAAGCAAAACATTAAAGAGGCCTTTAGCTTTTTCTAAAGCTAAAATATGCTATTTTTAGATAAATCATTTCAAATACTTCACAAATCAAAAGAATTAAGTAACATAAACAATAGGGAAACCCCATGATACCCCTAATATACCGGTTCAATCTCTATATTAAAATTAGAAAATCAGACGATTCGTTTCCCGATCTCTCATTTTTGAAACATACGTCACTGGCATGCTATAAATATCTCTCGGGACACTGTGTTGAAGAAGGCTTAATAGTGATATGATGCACTTTTCGTTGATAAAATTACTGCAATACTCAGTCTAAAACAACACAGAATTATTTTTCCAACAAAATATAAAAGCTTAAAGCCGCTTTAATAATCTTGCTCATTCCCTGCATGACTAATGGGATATTCAAACATTCAAAATCTTAATATGTTCCTTCCTCTGTCCAATATTACGACAGTTCCCTTACATTTCTTTGGGAATTCAATGAAATCGATTAAAACAATCTTTAGTGTTCATTAACTTCCTTTGGAGACGGCGTTTGGATTATAGTTATGTACTTTTCTTCTTTATCTTTTTGTTGATTGACGTCATTACTTAAATTTTGATCAGTGTTTATTTCTATCTTGGGTCTGATAGTATCATCAGATATTTGGACATCGCTCTCTGTGACGATATTATTTACATCTACATCTTCCACAATGGCATTTGTTTCATTTAAGTCAGCTTTAATTTCTTCAGTGGTTTCTGGTAATATTTCTTCGTCAAAAGATTCGTCGTATGCTGGGTTGGAGATTCCTATCTCTACTGTGTCATCTTTGAGCTCCTTAACCTGATCTAGAGAAGTTGTTTCGAACTGATCTAGATCACTAAGACTCTGTCTCGATGAACGCTTTTGTAGTGTAAGGGATAATTCGGATTTAAATTGATTGTTATCGATTGGTTTAATTTCTGGTGTAGTTATTTCTGTCAATTCTGTCAATTCTGAAAAATATTAAAATAATATAATGTTTGATTTGCATATTTAAAGTTATAATTATTTTGCGTTGTGCATATGGAAATCAGTTAACCTTATGATTAAATGCTTATACAGAAGTATAATTCATATAATGTTAGTTCATGTGATTAATTAATTTGCGAACAGAAAGACGTAAGAATTATTTAATTTATGTATCAAATATAACTAAAAGGTTTTGAAACGTATCTTCCTATCTAAGCATATCTTAGCAGAAATTGATCGAATTTATGACTTAAGAACCATACGTATGGGTCTATTTAAAAAGTTGATATTCATTCATTCATTATTATTTCCTGTATTGGTAAAAAAAACAATAAACGTAATGGTCAAATAAAACATAACATAGTAGCGGCATAAACTCTCTCTTTTTGAAAAGTTTGTTCTATTTTAAGCTTATTCTTGCACAAACAAATGCGGACTGGCTTACGAATCAAGTTTTACAAAGAGCCGTTGTGTAAATAACAAAAACACAAAAAGCAGTGTTCAAAATGGATTTGTTGCATTGTAAGATAGAACTTCTACCGTTATACTAATAAAAATAGTATTAAGAAGACTAAGCCATTTGTGAAAATCTTTGCTTTTGACATTAAGGCAATCGATAAAATCTATCTTTCTCTGCAACAAACCAAGCTTCATTTTTGTTCTAATGCAGTCTTTGCCTCATTTTTTTATTCTCGAGAATGTAACGATATAACAGTGCGTTTAAAAAGCTATTTCATTCATGATCAAGTATCTTTTAAGCTTGATTCTAGATCTGACATAAAAATTCTTTCTTTATTGTTTTCTTTTTCCTTTTTGGTTGTAACAAATAAGCTGTCGTCATGAAATTTGTTCTGTTCTGTATGTGCATACTTTGTCAACATTTTACTTACTGTTCTAACATTCCTCTGAAAGGTCAAGCTGAATTATGATATACCTTTTACAGAAACCATTCAAATGATCAATTATTCGTTTTAAATGTATTCAAACTCGAACTCAAGTGTTAGATTAAGTGAAATTACCTTTTAATCAAGATCATAAGTTTTAAACAATGCAACACAAGCTTGTTTATATCAATTTATATAATGTTGGTAAAAGACAAAATGTCCTATTCTCAAAAAGTCAAAACTAACATGTGCAATACAGTTATGTAATGCATTTATCAAGAAATAAACGAGATTTATTTAATCACATAGAATATGTTTCACTAAAGGTCAAATCTTTACCTGTTTCCGTGACGACGTATTGGTCTGACTTCACAGGATCATTGGGGATAACGTCTGTATCAACCTCTTCGTCATCACCTGTTGATATATATCATTTTGTTTAAAATTGGAACTTCGTAATTTTTTTAAATGAAGTGGTATATTGCTGATTCATTAATGCCTACTACAGAAAATACCGTGGATGCTTTTCTAATAGAATTTTCTTTACTGAACAAGAAACGCTTGTTTCCTTAAGAAATTAAATGTAACCGCGTCTACTAAATTTAAGCTTATAATTTTTAATTCATTCCATTTACACGATATATACCGGGACTAGCTTACACAATTAAAAAATTCTTCATACGTTTCTCTTTATGATATAATAAAAATGATAACTGTAACATCTAAAAATGATAACTGTTACATCTGTACATTTATTTAGGAATGCTTTACACGGGCAAATCATTAAATCATAATAATAATAAATTCTTGAGAGAATAATAATTCAAAACCTGTAGAAAAATTTAAAGTCGAAGAAATTAAGCCTACATTTAGCGTTCTGCAACAAAGTTACCTTTTTGAACTCAAAAACTTTTCAGATGTATTAAAATTACATAATTATGTATCTCTGATATTTTAATGAAGCCACACTTTTATAATAAAATGTAATTTCGTTATAAAATGGTTGGTTATGAGGCAATAAATTATGCATTATTTTAGAAGACCGACTTTTAAATGTAATTTATCACGCATATTAAGCCAATAAAGTTAAATTTCTTACTTAACCATATTACCTATATCAGTCGTATGATAAAAAAGTTTACTATAATTATGCAAATTTTCCGTTTTACCTATATCAATCTAGTATATTGAACAAAAGGGTCAATATTATCCAATTTCAGAGTACAAATGAAAAAATACAAACAGTAAAAGCCAACAATGATGTTACATTGTAATGTTTTAATCCATTTCGTGAAATATCTATTTGATTTTTTTCCCCATAAATTGTCCGATATACATAATGGTTGAGATACAATTTTATTATAAGTATTGTTGTCTACAGTCGTCACATACCATGTTGAAGGAACTTTGGTCCTAGAACTCCCATCAATGTAGCTCCAATAGGAGCACAGATGATAATAGCTAATACAGATATTGTTAACACATCTGTACCGTACTTTATATCATCAGCGTGGGGTTTATCTGACAGCATGACCTCGGCAATAGCAAGTCCCCCAGTCGCCGCCTGAATATATATATAAGAACAATTAATTTTATGAACATATTTTTAGAGCTTTAAAATGTGATGAGAAACTGTTACGAAGTATTCATTAAACAGTTCTGTGAAAAAAATCACATGAATATTACTATTACTATTTGACATAGTGGTATATGTGTATGTGAACATGTTGGTCATCTTTCTAGCTAGGAAACAATTTAAACAGCTGAAAATGCCTCATTTCAATTATGTACACATAATAATAAAAAATTGACAATAATTCAAAACAAAATAATGCAGTTGCATACAATTGTATTAAGATACACAACTTTGTAATCATATACGGTTTAATGTTAGAAATATGCTTTGGTCATTATATTATAAATGAATTAAAATATGTGTCCTTTAGTGTTGTCTAGTAAACGGCGAACATTAAAAGGACCAATCAATTAATTGACGATCACAATTCGATAATTCAATAATAGATTTAGATACGTTTATACAACATACGTCGCACTACATTTCAAAAGATTATAAATACCTGTACTGTAGCCTTTGATAGCCATGTCATCGTTATAAACACTCTTTCTTTAATGTTGAAGCCAGTTCCTATGGTAACGGTGAATGAAAACACACTCCTGACGACAAGACCGATTCCTAGCGTCGCTATACCAAGACCTGTATGTGTAAAGAAACATGACATGTACCTGAATCATAATAGATTTGACATAATGACACGATTTAAATACAAATATTGTTATAAATGTATATTCTTCATTTACTAAACACAGATCTTCATTTAAATAAAATGCGCTGATATAATTATATTATATAAAATAACGCTGATATAAAGTATTAATATTACATAATTCAAGTTCTGATGTTTTTTGTTGCTTTAATGGCGCTAGAATTAGTACGTCTGCTCAGAATGGCATTATTATAAGCTCACCTGCTGTACTGGACTCGATTTTGCTGACGTCAACAGCGCTTCCGATTAGACCAAAGAGGAAATGTTGCACTATTAACCAGGCTAGTGCCATAACACTTGACACCTCGTCCTGCAGTCACAAAAAAAGTGCATGTAAGTTGCGTATTACTTTTTATTTTGATTTAATACTCCACTATTCTATTTAAGAAACAATAAAAAAAAAGGTTTAATAATATTTTTGGAACATTTTCAGACACAGCCCTTTTTCATAGTTCGATGTGCAGCACTAACATGTTGAAAAAATAATCCAAAGTGACTTCACACTTCTGCCAAAAGTGAGTAGAAGAACAATATGACCTCTTACTGGAAAATACCATAACGACTGGAGAAAATGACTTATTTATGTTTATTTGTAATTGTCTTTGTGACTTAGCGACGGGAGTTGATGTTAAACTGATCTACAGATCGATTTCAGATTTACGACATACCGGCTCTCCTGGTTGACGTCTCTGACGCCATTTATAGGCTGCAACAGTAGCTGTGGTGAGACATCCAATAGGCCCTGCTCCTGAAAGTTTGATTGCCGAGCTGCCGAAGATTGCCACAAGACCCGCGCCGAGAAGTAACAGTGACCTGAAGAAAACTTTATTTGCCTGAAAGAGATTGAAAATACCTTGTTGTTTCCTCTATAATATATAGAAATGAGGCGTTTAAACTCCGTGCGAGGGATCATGCTTGTAAACTTTATGGACACTGTCGGTAACTACCATTTATATTTGAAAAGGAATGACATTTTAAAAGTATAATAATATTCAATGCCCGGTGAGATCTTGCCAAAATAAATCACTTTAAATATTACTATAGCAACTTGCAATCGTGCCTTTTATAACAATTGGGGATGAAATCGGGATCATTTATTGGTCCCGTTTTATTCGGATAAAATGCACCTAAATATTTTCCGACGTTCCTTGCAATGGATCAGTTGATATAGGTGAACAATGATCACGTAGCAAGCAACAATGGTGACACAATTACCAATGTTTATTATCCTTATTCAGGTATATAAAATAATAAAATATGATTAACAGATGCTTCACGACTTAATAAGAATAGGAGGGCTATTAATGATATGCATACTCTATGTATAGATGATGTCCTGTTTAAATGTTACATTTATTCATTAGAGGGCATAGCCTATATATCTATATTGGGATAAATAGTTGTGTTTGTAGGTCAGATTCTTCGTTCTCTCCAGTCGCTTTATACTTAATTCTAAAAGAAGAAAATATAGAGGCGACTTTTTTACAAGAAAATGAAGAATTTATCCTTTGATTTAACACGACAACCACTATTAAGCCATCCGTGTACTAATTTTCCCAACAAGAATGTACTGTTTTTGCTATTTACACTAACTGAAATTTGAAATGTACGGCTTAAAATGCAAAAATCGGGCTAGATACTGTCCTAACATCAAAAATTGTTTTTAGTTTTTTTGACGGGATTTCAACCTTCCGTGGTAAGTTGCAAGCGACTCTAAACAAGCAATTTAAACCTTCCACCGAGGCTATAAACTAGGTACACAAACTTACACAATCCCTGGCTGGAATGTACCACAGAAATATACCAGCAACAAAACCATATATTATACCAACACACACGCCAATAGGACCTTTGAAAATGGTTACCACTAAATCACCTGCAATCAAAAGAATAGTAATTAATGATATGTTGGCGTGTATTGACTTTAGAAAAATATCTATGAATTACTGTGTATTTTCACATATATTGTATATCTGGTCGTCACATATTTGTAATTGTACATATAAAGCGTGTTTATTACTTTTAGGAAACTTAATATCTATGTTTTAGTTTGAAACATTTTTTTTTGTGGAATGTGAAAAGATACTGACTGTTACTGGTCGATATTTTAATAACTATCATCGGATGGGCATGGATTTAGACATTTGAAAACATGACTTACTATCTGAGAAAATAATTCCAAAGAAAACGGAGAATCCCGTCACGCTCAGTACGTTGTCAAGACCACCAGCGGCAAGAAGCATTGTTGGAATTCCCTTGGCAACTCCATATCGGCGATCTTGTAGACTTACAAGGGAGGGAACTGTGACAGCCGGTGATAACGCCCCCATGATACATCTAGAAAATGTCTCATTTATTTATATTTATATTAAATTATTTTGCTGTTGACACTTTTAATGTCATGTGGATACTTTCCAAAGTAAAAACATCAACGTTCTTACCTTAACAGAATCTTAATGAGACAAAACTGTTGTTTTTTTTTTCTTTTTAATAAAACGAGTAATTAAGAATTGAGGAAATTGCCGTATTCATATTTCAATGACAAATGTCAGATGGCCTAATTATCATAAACGTTGGCGTTTTAATAACTTTAACAAAACTATTCTTATGTCGTAATTAGTGAAAAACATTGATATTAATTTCAAGAGACAGTTGAATTATAATATACAGATTTTATAGTTTTGCTGATTCCATTAAATCATAAATGAGCTCTTATTCGACGCTTTTGGACATATAAAATGTGCACTGATTTCATTGATCTTCTATTGGCTTTGTCCTGAACATATTCGGAGCATAAAACATGTTTTCGTAAAACATGTAATAAGGGAGACTGAAATTTTATCTGACAAACCATATGAACTTTTGTAATTTATACATACCCCAACATTAGACTCCATGCCCATGGAAACCCTAACAAGAAGCGGGAAACTACTGCTGACGTCATGATTTCTGCCGCACATGGAATGAAAGCAAGGCGAAGCACCGCCCATGACAATTTCTTCAGTTTGATAATATCCAATCCGAGACCAGCACGTGTTAAAATCACCGTCAGAGCAACTTTTCTAAAATACACAGAAAAAAACTTTCCGTGGAATATATAATCATATGCAGGTTGATATAATGGTTGTGGAAGTCAATAGCATTTGGGAAAAGAATTTGCAGTTCGTGTAAAATTTTGAAGCACAAAACAAAAAGACGCAATTGGAACAAATTTTCATGTAGAGGGGTATTGTTCGTAAGAAAGTTATTCTTTTACTTAAAAGTAATCCACATTCAACGAGTATTGTTAAGTACATCAATTCTTACCGCAAAACTCCCGACCATTTACCATCGATGTTATCACCAACACTTCGTACCACTGGAATGTTCTTTAGCAATAAACCCATTATTAACATTCCTGAAATTTATAGAAATATGATATTTTGTTCTCACAGCGATTGTAATTATTGACATAATAAGTATCTTTCGAAAAAAAAGGCAAATAAAAACGCTATAGCGAAATCGCTTCATTCATTCATATGAGATCTAGTGGAAATAAAGCATTATGAGATTAAAATAATACGGCGAAGTAGTAGGAAACACAAAATTAAAACACTTATTCATTTACATATACATTACTCGTAAATTTACTGACTGTGCTTTCGGTACATTTAAAAAAATCTGAGGAAGTTCGCGGCTTTTCGGTATAATTCGACAATCTGCTATATCGGAGTATTAGGCTTATTTTCGCTAACGAGTTCGTAGAATACCGGTAATTTCCGTAAATGCGTTCGTAAAAAAAATCGGCGTATTTCGTTATTTTCCGTGTCTGATTATGCACTAAAATAATCAACTCAAATCATTGTAAAAGAAAAATTTCGTCTATTTATAAAATACGGGCCAAATAATCCTGAAACTACTTAAGGCTACTTTGTAATATCTTTTTATTCTCATATATCAAAATGGCGACAATGACCTTAATTCGTACTTGTAATTATGACAACATCCGGGTGATGTATTGTGTATGATAGGCCTTTCTACATGAATATGTAAACAAAGGTAGATATTGTAGTATTCATTCGCACTAACATGCTTGTGAGATCTAACAAACTATAATGTTTAATTAACAAAACATAATGTTTTATTGGATAGGACACGGTGTTACACTGACGAGAACACCGTGCTTTTATTACTGTTATTGAAAAAGAACAAGATGTTAGGGGAGGGTTGTATTTAAAGATACACTTGTAAGTGTTAAAAAAGAAAAAAAAATATCTTGTTTCATAGAATCATCCATTAAAACATATACTTATCAAATAAGTATAAGAGCTGTTTTCGTCAGTCGTGCCTGGTGCTGTTGCCAATGTGTAAGTCTCTCTATTGTCAATGTTTTAAGCGACTGTTTTTTTATGTTGTAAGGGCCCAGTTACACAGACGGTCGGTCCCCAATCGGTCATTTAATTTTAAATTTACTCGCTGTTATGATCGGTTGTCATGCGTGATTCTATTTCTGGTTTTCTGTGTAAACGGCCATCGGTGACAGAAAGCAAACTCAAACGGGAATGGGTCGATGATTAAATGCTGAAATACTTTTGGTTTTTATCGTTTGTAAATCGGAGCTAAATCGGGCGTAACGCTGATCAAATCGGTGTTTGATAGCTAGTCTCAGTGTTTAACACTTTCCGTCAGATATGGTCGGCATGATTATTCATATTGTTATCCTTGTGTGATCGTTTTGTGATGATAGGCTCTTCTACGTGAATATGTTGCCGTGTTTATTTATTAAACATTTTTCAGCATCTAAAAATTTAAGTGTTTAAAAACCAAACGGTAATTTTTACTGGATGAACCTGTTACCATGAGGCAGTTGCATTAGTTGGAAAAAGGAACAAATTAGGGAGGTTGTATTAAAGTACGGTTGTAAGTGTTGAAATATCTGTTTCAGAATCATCCATAAATTGCTATAAATAAAAACCTCACGTGCTTCCCTGTGGCTCTTTTGTTTAGCACTGAGTGTAAGCGATCAATAAATTAAAAAGTATTAATCGAAGAATACGCGTGATATTTTTTAAGCGGAAATGTTTCTTACTGTTATATGAAGTATTAAAGCTTTAGATGATTAGAAATAATTTCAAGAAAATCAACTTTGAGGAAATTGAGCTTAGATGTTAAGAAAAGTAAAAAATTCACAATGTTTTACATGTTATATGCAACATGACTGATGTTGCAGTATTTAGCAACATATTTCTACTGCGTGACCAACGGTGTAAGGGCTATTTTTATATAGTTTGACCTTTATTTGCTAATTTACTTGTATTGAACGTGTCGCTTGTAATGTGTAAATTACTTCCTTTGTTCATTTGACAATATTTTACTTTTTTACCGATTTTCAAATTTTCATGAAAATTAGCATGAATCTGGGGGCATGCTGCTTTAAGGGTGTATTTAAATCAAGTATTGAGTCGGATTAACTGTACATAGAAGCTTATTTGTATTCAAACTGATATAATTCTAGGAATCTAAGTTGTAAGCCAAGAAATGAGGAAACGCATTTGCAAACAATTATCATATTACAAAAGTGACATTTTGCATAATAATTTGATGCATAATAAAGCAGCATTTCTATTCTTGTTGTTTTTCTATCTTCATTAATGTGCTATAAATGATATTTGCAGTGGTAAGTTATGTATGTAAATATTTATTTATTATAATAAGGCTAGACTAAATTACTTTATTTGTACTCATGGCAAAATGTTTACTCCTACAAACAATTTTTTTCATAAAAATGAGCAAAATGCTGGAGGCGGCTGCTTTTATTAAGAGAAAAAAAATTTAATAATTTGTCATGTGAAATTTGGTAATCAGCAGACTATAATTTATGATATATCAGATATGAAATGATTTAATGGTTTAAGGTTCTCTGATTTACATCTTTCTAATTGTTCCTCTCATTATTTATGAGATTTATGAGAACAATTATTTTTAAACAGCACGTGACACGTGTGAACAGTAAAACCACACCGAAGTTATTGGTTGTAAATCATATAATGCGCGAAAGTAAAACAATATAAAGGTAAAACATAAAATCTGCATCCAGCTTCATCCTTGAAGATTTATTATGACGTTTAATCGTTTTAATGCCGTACAGAATCATAAGATTATATTAATGACACCTCCCCCCCCTCCCCCCAAGAAGAGCAATGATGATGATAGAGTATTTGATCTTACTTAGCTTGGCTTTGATATCGCCCTTACCGGGATAAGTCACACAAAAAAAAAAACAACAATATCAAAATTCTTAACACTTAAACATATTAAATATGTTGAATCTGCCACATCAGGGGCATCGTTTCTCGAAATTTCATCGTAATAATTAAGACGGGATAATCAGCCGAAACAATGATTTCCTACCGACACACCGACACTAAGTTAAAACCAGTACCTTAGTTACAATCAGTCAAGGTTTCGAAAGAAGGTATGGCGAGTGTTCTCTTTTTATAATACAAATGCCAAATTAAATTAAAAATACACTTTTCAAAATTATTTGACATAAAAAACGACAACAACAACAAAAATAATATCATGTCTCTTCTTCATATCCTCATGTATTTTTTGTCATACCAAGGTTCATAATAAGTTCACAAACTTTACGCAGTCATTACTTGTCTGATTTTTTTGTTGTTGTGGCAAGAATGTCACATAATCAGCGTACCATAAATGCTTCATTTGAAATGCGGTTTATTGTTTTGTTTCCGCGTTACAATAGTTCATAACGAAAATGCACTTATATTTCTGTGTTGTTGTTATTGTTGACATGCTATAAGATTCAAGACGCTTCATTTGACAACATAATTAGCTTTGCAAAGATATACTAGCGCGATGAAATTAAATTTATTTATCATTTAATTTCTCTAAAATAAACTAGAATTTATGTAAAGATTACAATTTCTTTCTCTTTGAAATACTTTATCATTTAAGCATGCTGTACTGTTCTTACCAAGTAACGGCGGCAGATTCACGAAGGAAATAAGATAACCGCCAATAGCACAGCAAACAAACAAGACAAGAAGGGAGAAATAGTTGCCCCCTGGTAATGCCTCTGTGTTTGTCCAAGTGTAGAGAACTATCCATACTTGTAGACACACGACTGCAAACTGAAAATATGAAGCCAGATTTCCATGTGGGGGAAGCATTAGACCGTATCGTATTCTTTGAAAAATATTTGCGTTGTCTGGCAGAGGGTTGTGGCTAGTGAGGCATGGGATACAACACGCTGAGCAAGATTCTTGAAGTTGTGGACATCTGTCAGAGGAACTGTCATCATCGCTAAAGTCTTTCGGTGGTTTAACCTCGTGTTGGACATTTCCATTTTTAACTTGGTCAGGAACTGTTTTTACGTCCCGCAGACGTAGATCTTGTTTTTCGCCCATTCTGTCCCGTGAAAGTTGTGGTCAGACTGCGCTGTGTCGTGTTTATTGCCTAATAAAAATAGCAAAACATACACGTTTTTATTACTTTCATAAATTGTTACACTGACACTGTCAGTCAGCAGTATATTAACAAGTAAACAATATAATTAATGATTTAACCAACAAACTTACTCATGGTGCAGGTGCGCTGTTGCTACAGAAAATTATTTCACTAAATAAACCTAGTTTGAATATTAGTTAGAAATATACAGATTTTTACCATTCCAAAGCTATACATTGTGCATATTTTTTAAATCAAATTTATTCAATTTCAATACAATTCTGCGATATATTATGCTCTGAACGAAAACGAGAGTTTATAATTGAGTGAATATACATGTTCGTATTGTTAGACTTTATTGAATTGTAAGATAACAGTATAGGTAATGAATTTTTTAACCTTTAAAAATATTTTTTTAAATATATATTTGTTGTTTTTTTTTCTTCTATTTTTATGTTAAATTTAAAGTTCGAAAATAGTGCCAAAACAAAAAAGCAATGACAATAGTTTTCACTTGGACAATGCATAAGCTTGTTTACGAAATTGTTTAACTCTAACTTAATAACATCTGTTCTTACGTTATTAAAATTACATGCTGACACCTGTCCTTGTGATTTAGAATGCAAACTTGTGTATTTAAACATTGTACTGAACTTAGGTCGGAATTGTTAATTAACTTATAATGATATTGTAAAGATGGTGTACATGACAATTAAAAAAAATCTATTCATAAAAAGACAACTTTTTAACTTCAAAAATTACGTTTTAAACATAACATACTATCATTAATAATAATAATAATAATAATAATAATAATAATAATAAAAATAACAAAATTATTATTATTATTATTATTATTATATCATTATTATTATTATTATTATTATTATTATTATTATTATTATTATTATTATAATTGTATATTCTAAATATAAAGTATAATGAGTAAATTATGAGAATTCTTAATTCATTCATCTAACAAATGTATAATTATTTTTCCAGACGATTACATGCGAGAAAAAATACATTGTATAGAAAATCGGACAGTTTGAAAGAAAGCAAATTACTATATGACAATTAAACGTCAAAATCCTCCATTATACACGTTGATTACGTAATAACAACTTCTTTAACGAGAAACAAAACAGTCCAGCTGTCAGTTGAGTGTAATTTACATCTTCATCACACTTTTCTGTTGACAGCACGTTCAATATTGTATGAACGCTTAAAACCATGTGACCGTATCAGCTTTTTTTGCTCACGTGATTTTCGAATAATGTGACATTTCAAAATGGTTTGAAATCGGGTTAGTTTAATTGCTAAAAATTAAAATTATTACTGTCGTAAATAAACGCAATCTTGCAGTATTTTCTATAATACAAAGCTTGTCTCCTATGGAAAAAATCCAAATATGTCTGCGTTTATACAATAAATGAACAATAGATACTTTGGATGTAAAAAATAATTGCGATTCTTAAATCTGAAATTATATGAACTTTTATGACAGCAATGCATCCTCTTTTGAAACATAGCATATGACGAATTTTGACAAATTAATTGGTTTTAATTTTGACAAATATTAAATAAATAGTTTTTACATTAATTTATATTTATTTAAATTTCAGAATACGCATTAGAATTATCACGCATTCGTATGAAAATGAAAACTTAAAGATAGAAATTGCAAATTTAATTTCCATTTCAAATATTAACATGATATTTTCAAATGATGCATTGATTATCATAACTTAAATTTGCTTGTTTTTTTATCTCTTGTTACATTTAACAGCATACGGCATAAGTCCGAGAAATCGATTTTAGCCGATACTTTAGCTAGAGGAAATAAGAATGGTGCGAATCAGCAGTTGGTAAATCTGTTGAAAAAATAATCAGCACATGTATAATAGTGAATAGAATCCCTAGGCCGCTTGAGGGGTTACTCCAAGGTCTTGATCACATGAACCGCAAAAGCGCCGTTAAATGAAATTTTGGACAAACATAGATCAATATTTTCTTATATTGTTTTTTTTAATATTTAAATTACACATTTAACTGTAACGTGATGCCATTTGACAACAACGCTTTTAGTAACACACGTGTACAATATGGATTTTATATCGGGATTTGTCTATATAGGCATGTAACACAAACAAAATCAATAGCAAAATTCGCATTGGCAAATACTTAAAAAGGTAAATAATTTGATATCAGAAAGAAAAGGTTCATGCATTTCGGACTTAAATTACGTAACCACCTGTCATTACTAGAATCTTCAATCAATTCTTTTTGTATCTCCAATCAATTCCTTTTAAAGATATCTTCCCGTTATGGTTTCCACTTTTTTATTCAAAAAGTTTAAATCAAATAATATATACATGTAATTATAAAGAGCCCTACGCACTTCCTCCAACCCGTATCCTTTTTTTTTTTGCCATATTTATCACCATTTCGCGTTTACATTGGATACATTGAAATTATTGGATTATTCGCGTGACAAGAAAGTTTAGATATCTAGGGGTAATAACTTGACTAAGAAATATCTCAAATGCCAGTAATTTATCAAAGCCATCTCATATCACGAAGTTTCATCCAATAACGACAATAATAAATATAATTAGACCAATTTGAAACCATGTCATTGTTAACTCATACGAAAATTAAACCACAAAAAGGGAAATTAAAAGGCATGTTTTTATTGTTCGTTTTAAAATTAGGTTCATGTGAATCTTTAATCATCCAGAATTGATTACCTAAAATGATAAACTATGTACGTAATATTTCATTGAGGTAGTGGTTATTACCACAATTAGGCTGGTTATGAATGACAATGTTATTTTGCTCGTCACGGTGACATATTAAATCTACTAGCTTACACGTTTATATTATATTTAAAAAAATGTTTCACGATCTACTCCATTAAGTTAAACAAACAACGATGTCACGCAAAATAATGTAAACAGCATTGCCACACAAACACTTGTTTTAAACGATGTCAACAGAACATGTTTAACATCGATCTCAAGCAAAATCATGCTTTTCACAAACACGTGCTTTTCAATACTGTCACACCACACACATACACAATACACAAACACATGTTCTAAAATAATATCACACAAACACATTTTCTACAAAGATGACACACAAACATGTTTTACAACGATGTGACACAATTACATATTCTACAACGTTGAAACACAAATACATGTTCTACCAAGATGTCACAGGCACATTTTCTACAACAATGTAACGCAAATACATGATATGCAACGATGTAACGCAAATACATGATATGCAACGATGTAACACAAATACATGTTCTTCAACGATGCCACACAAAAACATGTTATACAATGATGTAATGCAAATACATGTTCTAAAACGATGTAACGCAAACACATGTTCTAAAACGATGTAACGCAAACACATGTTCTACAACGATGTAACGCAAACACATGTTCTACACCAATGTAACGCAAACACATGTTCTACAAAGATGTCATACAAATACATGATCTACACCAATGTAACGCAATAAATGTTCTTCAACGTTGTCCCACAAAAACATGTTCTTCAGCGGTGTAATACAAACACATGTTCTACAACGATTTCACACCAATACATGATCTACAACAATGTAACACAAATACATGTTCTTCAACAATGTCGCAAAAACATGTTCATCAACGGTGTAACACAAACACATGTTCTACAACGATGACACGCTAATATATGATCTACAATAATGTGACGCAAATACATGTTCTTAAACGATGTCGCACAAAAACATGTTCTTCAACGATGTTACACAAACACATGTTCTTAAACGACGCCACACTTGCATGTTCTACAACAATATCACACAAACACATATTCTACAACGACGTCAAACAAACACATGTTCTTCAACGATGTAAGGCAAATGCATGTTCTACAACGATGTAACACAGCACATGTTCTTCAAAGATGTAACGCAAATGCATGTTCTACAACGATGTCATACAAACACATGTTCTACATCAACGCCACACAAAAATGTTCTTCAACGATGTCACACAAACACATGTTCTAAAACGACGTCACACAAACACATGTTCTAAAACGACGTCACACAAACACATGTTCTAAAACAACGTCACACAAACATGCTCTACAACGATGTCACACAAACACATGTTCTACAACAACGTCGCACAAAAATGTTCTACAACGACGTTACACAAACACATGTTCTAAAACGACGTCACACAAACACATGTTCTAAAACAACGTCTCACAAACATGCTCTACAACAATATCACACAAACACATGTTCTACAACAACGTCGCACAAAAATGTTCTACAGCGACGTCACACAAACACATGTTCTAAAACGACGTCACACAAACACAATGTTCTAAAACAACGTCACACAAACATGCTCTACAGCGATGTCACACAAACACATGTTCTACATCGACGTCACACAAACATGTTCTACAACGATGTCACGCACATGCTTTACAACGATGTCACACAAACACATGTTCTACAGCGATGTCACACAAACACATGTCCTACAACGACGTCACACAAACATGTTCTGCAACGATGTTACGCACATGCATATTCATTACAATGTCACACAAGCATATGTCCATCAACACAGACATTATTTTTAAGTCGAGTAATTAAATGTTAATTTGGCGTGTTTGTGGGAAAAAATAACACATACATGCAGATTTACAAATCTTTTGTGACTTAAGTATGGTTCTTGATATACATGTATATAAAGTATGAATGTCACAAAATAGTTAAATAACGAAAATGCCCTTACCGCTAATATCTTTGCCAAATGTGTGGTTTTATTTTAAAGTAAATACCCATATACTGATATCAAGAAAAAGAAGAGTCTTAGTTTTCTTTCAACACAATATTATTTCCAGTTGTTTTTTATCCGTAATTTCATTTTTTTCTCTCAATTTACTTTAAGGTCATAATCAGTAGCCTGCTTTAACTAAGATTAAAGAGCGCAAGTCAAGATGCAATAATTATACCAGTTATTCAAAGCTTTTAATTTTGTCCAACATGTTATTTTTATATTACACTTTCAAAGTAAGTAATATGTCCCTGGTTAATAGATAAAAATACTATAAATATATCTTATATTAAGATAATTATATAATTTACATCGACTTTTTTTCTTAAATGCAATATTTATTTCTTTAATACACTACATATCATTAAATAAAATCTTACCGCCTAAGTCACAACGTTATCCTATAGCCAAGAGCCGAAACAAATGCGATTCCCACCTGTAGTAGCCTTAATTAAAGTCACTCAATAAACAGTATGTCGGGCTCCTGTCATATGAAACGCTAAAAAACGTCAAATTACGTCGCTTCACTGACCATAGCGATAATTATATCCTCATCTGCTATATCAGCAATGAAAACAACGTTGATAAACCTACGTTACGTTAACGTTAGAACTATTTATCACGAGTCTTTGATCTTGTTAATTTAATATAATTTGACTTTATATATATATTTATTTACTTATTTACTTATTTGTTTGTTTATTTATTTATTTATTTATTTATTTATTTATTTACTTATTTACTTATTTATTTATTTATTTACTTTATTATTCACAGTACATGTTGTTTATTTTTGACGTGTTTGTTTGTTTTTATGGTGCATTTTTTTGTTTTGTTAAATACATTTTAAACAAAACAAACCAAAATGAAATAAGTGTTTGTTGTTATAATTTTTTATTTAAAAAATATATTTTATTGCTTGTGTTTTTAGACTTGCAGTCCTAACATTCATTTCAAAACATTTTCAAGCATTCTGGCCTTCAATGAATTTTATTTCTCTGAAGGTTTCTAGATAATACACACAAATGTATGATGGCCATTATCCGGCACCATGGAAAATATTTCTCGACACATAATAAAACGTAAATTCAAGAGTCTTCTGAAAAATAATTTTTTAAAAATGTTCCTTTGGAATTATTGGATCATTATAGATTGGTGAAGGACTTGGATGCATCAAGGATTTTTGATAAAACTTGAAATAGCAGCTGTTGTCAGGATAGTTTATTGTTTGAATTTAACACAACCGTTGTTCATGGAACAACTTTACAATGATTAACTAATGATTTTGTGCAATAAGTAGCTATAGTTTTATGCACATGCGATAGGTCAAACACATTCCCCGTAAAGATACATGTAGATGTTATCACTGTTACCGACCTACGCGTGCAGATGAAGAGCTTTTGGGCACTTCGTATGCACATGATTCAACATTATACATAGCTATAGCTGACCAAAGTTTGAGTAATATACAGTCTGAGTTTCAGCTAGACTTATTATTAAAAATACAGGAATGGTGCTCTCTCAATAATATGGCCATTAATCCAGAAAAGACAAGTGAACGTGCATGATAATTGGATCAAAATGTAAAATGAATAATATAGACAGTCTTTCTCTGCATATTGAGAATTGGACAATAAATAATGTTCATTGTCAAAAGCTACTGGTATTGCATATTGATAACTGTCTATCTTGGAAAACACATATTGACAAAACGTGTTCTCAGCTTGCTTCTAAAATAGCCCTGTTGAAAGGAATACAAATATTTCTTACATCGAAAATGAAACAATTATTTTATAATTTGATTATGGATGTATTACATGGTCCCAAAGTAACAAATCAGACCTGAATAGAAGAACCAAATTACAAAAAAGAAACGCCAGAATTATTTTATAGAAACCCGTCAAAATCAATTCTCTTGAAATGTTCCAAAATCTTAAATGGTTATCTTTTACATCTAGATGTTATTACTTTTCTGGAATCATGGTGTATAAAGTGATAAATAAATAAACACCTGCAAATATCTCTAAACTAATTCCGTTATCTCAGAATAAAACATGCTTACTAAAATTAACACAGAAAAAAGACATCATGCATTCAAATGACCAATAACATACTTTATGGAGTTATGGATCACTATTCCTGTAGAAGTAAGAAATTTTTCAAGTCTTATATTGTTTTAATCACATTTCAAACATTTATTATTATCTAAAGATGAATTGTAGTAAATATACTTATACTATATATATACTATTATGTGTGTCTTCTTTGTTGTATAGTATGTACTGAATGTTATAATTTTTATAATTGGTTGTATAATATGTCTATTATTATTCTCACCAGCATCAACAACGTAACAGCAACAATATCATCATCATTTCTATCTCCATTATTTTCCTCCTCATCATCATCGTCATCGTCGTCGTCGTCGTCATCATCATCATCATCATCATCATCATCATCATCATCATCATCATCATCATCATCATCATCATCATCATCATCATCATCATCATCATCATCTTCTTCTTCTTCTTCTTCTTCTTCTTCTTCTTCTTCATCTTCCTAGACATATGATTAAAAATTGTATGCTTCGCGTGATAAAGAACAAAAGACCAATTTACAATAAATAAAAAAGAAGAAGACCAATTAACAATAAATAAAAAAGAAGAATATAAATGATAAATATCATATGCTTACACTTGTCATGTGATACTGACAAAATACGTTTCTTCGGATAAGATAGTTTCGTATTAAAAGCAAAGTGAACTTCGGTTCCATGTCGTGGCCACGAGTTACTAAGTCGTGGCCAAGAGATAATTATGTGGTGCGCACGATAATCAGTATACATGTATATCGTATTTTTCGTGTTAGTTAAATTTTAAAAAAAAGATGTAAAAAATAAATAAACGTTCCGTTTACATACGACTATGAGTTTCATCTATTAATTAAATAATAAGACGTCATGGTACATAGTTTGACATAGTTTGACAAATGAATGCGGCTTTTTTGACGAATGATAAACCTCAAACGTGTTGTTAGCAATTGTCATTAACCTGTCAATACCAAAATCTGAACTCATGGGTAACATGCAGTATGATAAATAGCACGGGTAATATATTGTTCTGATAACACTAATATTCTAGATTGTACGGCAAAACTTATACTACGAGCTGTTCAGAAAATTGAAAACTTAATACAGAGTGTGGGTTTTCAACCAAGTATACAATGATTGATATAGAAATGAAGTTATCTGTCTCAATAAATAAGCATTTTATATACAATTTAATTAAACCCATTTAGCTATGAATTTAAGCCAAACTCTCTAATATTGCGAGAAAAAAATTTCTTCTGAACTTGAGTCAGGGGAGGGGGTCAAGGGATGTTTGCTTTTACAGACCAAATGTAGTCGCTCTTTTACATTGAACAAGAAACTGACAGACTATCTGTTTTGACTGTCTGCACTTCTTAAAACCAATTTTTGTTAACATTTGATCCTTTTGATCCTTAGAAGAAAAACATCAATCGATTCTGTTTCACGTGTTAAGTTCTTAAACAAAATCCACTGAGGTCCAAAAGTCCAAAGACAACAAAAAAAGAAAATCTAATATAGATCAACTGGAGCAAGGAATAAATAGAGGATATTGAATGAGTGTAGTTTAATACTAAATTGAACGAGTTGAATAAAATCATATTATGCGAGCCTCTGGCGAGCATAATATTGTATTATTCAACGAATTCAATAAATTTCGTATTGAATCTACACGAATTTAATATTCTATTTTATCAAATATATAAAATAAGAACAGTAAAATGTTAAAATGAGTTAATTTTTTCCGTGACGCACCCATAGTGTAAACGCTTACATTAGCGCACTTTTACGATATGTTTCTATACAACGCAAATGACGTCACGTCAAAGTAATAGAAAGAGCACCGAAAACGAGGTTATCTGATTTGTACGAGGGGGCGTTAAGCCCCGAGTATATTAATCAGATTAACGAGTGTTTAGGTGTTCTTTTTCTTTTGTATATGGTCAAACATAAAAACACGTTCCCCTGTTTTTTACAATATGAAACTCCCGGCAAAAAATAACCAAATGAACGAACATTGAATCTGGATATTTTCTGTCGCTTTCCCTTTCTCTGCCGTCACAATATGTAAACCCCAGCAAAAATGAGCCAAGCAATGGGCATGCTCTGGAGTGCGGGTAACTATACCGGGAGCTCCAGTTAACGCACTGTGCATGTCATTTTGTATATGTTACGATTTAACCTGCACATTTTCAACAGAAAGGTTTCTGCCAACTATGATTACAAGTGTTATTACAATAGTGTAATATCGTTTTTTATTAAATGGCTTTATTACACTCCTGCGCCGCGGTTTATGTGGTTAAACAGAATTAAATTAAAAAACTGAATATTTGATATTTTCATTTTTATGTCATTGTGCACAATATGAAAAATGTTCTGGAAGAAAACGAAATGAGCGAATCATGTGAAGTTTGAAAATGTTAAGTGATTGGTATAGACACACATCATGTGGTCTAAATAAAATGTAGTAAATCATTTCCAACCATTTTCTGTACATAAAAAACTGTAAGAAAAGTCCATTTAAATATTGAACTATTAAAAAATTTTAAATAACAATGGCAAAGCATATTTTTTAGGCGATGGACCCAAACAATTTTAAAAAAGAAAGTGTATTAAAAAACTTTATAAAAACCCCTGTCGATTTGGGGAAAGGGATTGCCGGGCCCCCCTGCTAATTTTGACGTGATGTTTTGGGTTTTAAAAAAATGGTCAAGACCCTAAAAGTTGTTTTTTACTTTAGGCAAGTCAATGAAAAATGTTTTTTCCCCTTAAAACGGTTTTTTTATTTTTGATTGAAATAGAATAAAAAATTGGGGGTTTCATTTTTTAAATTTTTTGAATCGTTAAATTTTAAAAAATATTTTCCCCTTGCCTGGGCTCGTAATTCATTTTATTAAACTCGTTCAATAACTAGTATTAACTATACTCATTCAATATCCTCTATATATGTCTGTAGGTATGTCTTACGAAGATAAATGTAAGGGGGCAATGTGATACAATGTTTGCGAATATTACAGAAACAAGATTCTATGTCATATATCAAAAATACACTTTCGAAGTCTAAACCATTAAACAAACAAGATCCATACACAATGTTTTAAAAGCAATATTTCAGAAACGAAATTGAAGTTACGTGTAAAAGTTTGAAAAAATTTCATAAACATGTGTGGCAACGAATACATTTCACTTTTGTTCGTAATCTAGATAAATCATATTAAAATTTCTTTAAATTCTAACAAATCCATCAGAAATCTTATCCATTTCAAACAAAATAGTTCGTTGATCTGTTTTGAAAAAGTGACTAAACATCGTCTTGCAATATACAACAGAAATGATTAATATACATCAGAGAAGGAATATCACTCTGGCAATTATTCTTATCAGTCCTAAAAATATTCCTGTATTAATTTAGTAACAGCATGTATGTTTAGCTTGAAATTCCTTTACTG